GACAGACAGACAGGCAGGCAGACAGACAGACAGACAGACAGATACTTTATTGAACCCGAAGGAAATTTTGCAGCCAGTAGCAGTCACACAACACAGCACAGTTATAATAATGAGGGTGATACAATATAAAAAGAAGAATATATACAAAAAAAATATATATACAGGCATATATACAAATAGAAATATACAAAAATATGCAATAAGATCTTAAATAAAAAAGGCAGTGCAATAATGACTGTACAAGGAGGCACAAGTAACAGCAAATAATGACAATACTGAATAAATATGTGCATATATCGGTACTGAAATAACGTGTCTAAAGTGTCTAGGTGTGGAGTGTCCAGATGTGCAAGGTTTGTTTTTTATGTAGCGCTGTGGACAGGTGTCCCATCACATCTGACATAAAGCTAACAGCATTGCACAATAAGAATATCATACCAACGAGCAAACATGGTGGTGGTAGTGTGGTGGTATGAGGATGCTTTTCTGCTTCAGGGCTTGATGACTTGCCATAATTGAAGGGATTGTGACTTTTCGCTCTCTACCAGTAAAGCCTGCAAGAAAAGGTCTGGTCATCAGTCCATGATCTGAAGCTCAAGTGTAGGAGCTGCAAGATAGCGATCCAAACCACAAGAGCTCTTCCACCTCTGAATGGCTCACAAGAAACAAAATTAAGGTGCCTAGTCAAAGTTCTGACCTGAACCCTATTGATATGCTGTGGCAGGACCTCAAACAGGCAGTTTATGATCAAAAGCCCTCCAATGTGGCTGAGTGGGCCAAAGTTCCTCCACAGTGATTTGATAGACTGATTTCCAGTTATAGGAAGTGCTTGGTTGCAGTTGATGCTGCTAAAGGTGGCACAGCCAGTTGTTAAGTTTAGGGGGCAAAACATTTTTCATGAGGCGCATAGATGTTGCACAACTTTTTTCCTTTGACAAATGCAGTGGTCATTTAAAATCTGTGTTTGGTGTTTCCTATTGTTCTCCTGGTCTTATATTACATTTTGTATCAGGATCTGAAACCATTTAGTTTGACAAAAATGCAAAAATACTTTTTTCACATCACTGTTTCCAGATTTTTCTTTTAATTGTCACTGGTCTGTGTACTGATTTTCTTGAATTAATAAATGTGACGATTCCAAGGCCAGGCTCTGAGTCAGAGGAAAAAGCAATGCTGAGATCTGGGATCTTAAGTTATTTCATTTCTTAGAGATTAATTGTATTTACTGGAACTTAGCATTGAGTCCAGAACTCTCAAGTTCCTAAATGAATACCTTACATACAACATACACCGATCAGGCATAACATTATGACCACCTCCTTGTTTCTATGCTCATTGTCCATTTTATCAGCTCCACTTACTATATAGGTGCACTTTGTAGTTCTACAATTACAGACTGTAGTCCATTGTTCTTCAGTGGTCAGGACCCCCATGGACCCTCACAGAGCAGGTACTATTTGGGTGTTGGATCATTCTCAGCACTGCAGTAACACTGATGTGCTGGTGGTGTGTTAGTGTGTGTTGTGCTGGTACAAGTGGATCAGACACAGCAGTGCTGCCGGAGTTTTTACCATGATATTTTTTTACCACTATATTTTTCTCGTGAAATTAATTCCACCTATTGGAAATTAAAATGCGATTGTCACTTTGTAATTAAACCGATAGTTAAACTTATTCATTTGGCCTTCTCTTCACCTTTTGAAGACCTAACCAATAGGAGAGCAGGACAAAAAAAATATGAACAGCGTCAATTAAAGCATGATTCTATTGAATAAAGTGAATCTAAAAATGACAAAGACATGTTTTTTTGTTCCCTGAAGTGATTAGGCCTTCTCTGAAGGCATAGAAGGCCCTGAGAGTTCCTGTCTGACAGTAGAATAAAAGGCAACAATTGATTTTTTATGGCTCAGAACTGAAGAGTCAGCTGGATGTTAAGGTTATATTAGATTAAAGGTAAAATATGAAAGTGTAGTATCGTGTTTGTACAGTTACATGGTTTGGTAGTTGTATTTGACAGTTGTATTTCATCGGTCTGTTAAATCTTTGTCTGCATTTTCAGAATTAGAGTAATATATTGTAGACCACAGTCATGTCTTTAGTGCTTAAGTACATATTACATACCCTAAATTCAATCGAGCTGCTCACAGCGACAACACAATCTCTATAAAACGAATCATTTGAGAATAAAGTCGGATGTCCGTGTTAGAGAAATTGATTGGTGAGCGTAAAATCGTGCCGTTTTAAATCCCAGGTGCTGTGTAATCTTATTAGGCCCTGGAGCACAGAATCCCTCATGGACATCAGAATTGTAGATTAAAACATGTACCGGATGATCAGATGCATTAGAGAGCACACAATGGCATTTAGTGTGCCAAAGAGCAGCGTGGCCCCTTAATCTTGGCAGTTAGTTGAAGTGATCAATACTATGAGATGATGTCTGTTATTTCTGAGGCCTGTTGTGCGTGAGGGGAGAGAAGCTGGACGGGATCTCTTTGATATGTCAGGTGCAGAGCAAACAAGCCTCTAATACACAGAAATACCTTCAGGAATAATTTATTGCTGATTACAGCCACCCTTTTATATTTATGAAAAAAATCTCTCATGTTGAACGAACGTCAGCTGTTTTCACCCACTTTGATCGTATCGATTGCATGTTATCAAAAAAATAAATACTGTAAATACTCTTAGCTTGCCTGATTTCTCCGGCCACCTTAAAATAACAGTTTATGCACATGGGGCAAGATTTGGGCTCGCGTGGAATATTTATGCTGAGCCGCAGTGTTTAATGACAGCCGTTAACTCCATCTAACCTTTTATGCCACGCAGTTGTAAATAAAGCAGCGTCTCTGAAGCACATAATCTATCAAATGAAATTCAGCAGAAATAGCTCTTTCATTTAGTGCCGAATCAGGAAAACTAGCCTCAGAATCCAGAAACGTTTACCTCAGTTTTTTATTTATTTTTTATTTTTTTAAGTGTTGATTCACAAAGTGACTGCTGTGTGTGCAGCTTCTGATTCTGAGTGCTACGTAGAAAAAAAATGGGCCCACGGCTTATTTGTGCTCCTCCGTAGTTGTCAGATGCAATGAAACTCACAGCTTGAGACCTTTTGATTGCATGTCAGATTCACTTTGAAATAACCAAATCTTAGTTAAACAGGTGACAACTGCACACACCCCATCTATTTCCACAAGGAAGCTCAAATATGCATTGATCCTGTTAGCTAATATGTACCTTAGAAGTCTCCGAACCTCCAATTTCCTCACTTGTTCACTCTCTTTTCCATCCCCCTCTCCTTCTTCCTAACTTCTCTCCTCTCCTTCCAACCTCTTCTCTTCTCTTCTCTTCTCTTCTCTTCTCTTCTCTTCTGTCTCTTTCTGACTCTTTATCTCTCTTCTCCTGTCTTCTCCTCTTTCTTTTCTTCTCTCTGTTTCTCTGTCTTTCTCTATTCTCGTCTCCTCATTTCTTCTCTCTGCTTTTCTTTCTTTTCTGTTTTTCTCTCTTTCTCTCCTTTTCTTCTTCTCTTCTTTTGGTTTCTTCTTTCTCTCTGACTCTCTCGATTTCTCTTCTTGACTCAGCATTTTTTCTCTTCTTTTCTCTCATCTTCTCTAATTTTCTTTTCTTCTTTCTCTCTGACTCTCTCTATCTCTCTTCTTGTCTCTGCATTTCTTCTCTTCTCTTCTCTTCTCTTCTCTTCTCTTCTCTTCTCTTCTCTTCTCTTCTCTTCTCTTGTACTTACATACAAGTACCTGCACACGTTTAATCATGCTTATTGTTGCTTTGGCAGCAAATGCCCAAACGTTGTATCCCTAAATATGTTATTTTAAAGGAGACATAAACATTTTAACTTTAATGTACCTTGTAATGTAAAATGTAAAAAGAGTTTATTCTGAAACATTTATTTGCTCCATTCTTCATTAAGTGTTTACATAATGGTTAAATGGAATTTAATAGGTTTTAATATGACAGATCTGATGTAATCAATGTTTAAAAACTAAATAAAAAGAAAGGGAATGATTACATTTACATAAGACAGCAAAAACATTTTTAACTTTTAATGTGTGTTAATGAAGTTAGATTTTATACCAATTAATTTTGTACCATTTAATTAGGTCCATTCATCATGAAATTCTTACACAATGTAAAAGGCAGCAACTGTGCTTGCATGATGTAAAAAATTAAAAAGTGGATATGTGGTTTTGTTTTGATGAAGAGACATAAGCAGTACTATTTAACGATATCACTAACCATTTTTAAATTTACACATTATATTAGAAATTAGTGCTGTTACTCGTACTATATTTAGAATGTGTGTCCCTTCTTCCTTAAGTGGTATTCGTACATGTATCTTATTAGAATGTTACATCTGCCAAAAATGTTTTGGATTGGGCCTCAGTAACTGCAGTTAAAAATGAGAGAGTTGGCTAACACTGGTACATTAACATTAAAGTTGATTAATGTGCGTTGTCCCAGATTATGCAAATACGCCATACTACTATTAGGAATCCTTCCAACTGTGATAAAGATATCCTGACTACTAGCTTAGCCATTAATGTAGAGATTAATGAATAAAAGAGACATAATATTTGGCTTCCATGTAGTAATATTAGCTATTTGGCTTTCTTCTGCATTAGTCAGGTAGTAGGATGAAAAAAAGCCCCCAAAGCAGTTTCTCCGACATTTAAGATACTTTATCAGAAGAGGGTTTAAACCAGAGAAAACAACCCCCCTGTTCATATTTTTCAATAGAACTATCTATCTATCTATCTATCTATCTATCTATCTATCTATCTATCTATCTATCTATCTATCCATCCATCCATCCATCCATCCATCCATCCATCTAGCTACCCAATATTTTTTTTTATTTCAGCGGTGATAAAATTAAAGGATATCTTCTTTGAACTTAAATATTTGTCTCAAATGTTTATGCTCTCTCTTTCTCTCTCTCTCTCTCTCTCTCCCTCTCTCTCTCTGTCTCTCCCTCTCCCCTGTTGTAGTGTCAGCCAGTGACTGTGACTCGGAGCAGAATGCTGATCTCACCTACTACACCCTGAGTTCTGACTTCATCATCTCCCCACATGGCACCATCTTCCCTGCTGGCCCACTGGACTATGAGCGGCCCAACCACCTGTATGAGTTTGTGGTGATGGCTGTGGATAAGGGTGAGGTGCCTCGGACAGGAACGGCCACAGTACGCCTGCGGATGGCCAACGTCAACGATGAGCCGCCTGAATTCTCCCAGCCAGTGTGAGTGCTTCTAAAATTTTTTGCCACAGCTTTGCAAAAGTTTGAGCACCCCCAGTCATATCCCAGTTCAAGTGAAAATAAGTTAACACATCCTCTACAGAGAACACACTTAAATATGACGTTTTTTTGGTTTTTTTTGAAAATGTCTATTTATTTAGTGATTTTAACATGTTGGACAGAATAAATTATACAATTTAAAATGTGCCATAACTTTTGCCAAATTTTATGTTTGTATTTATTTCCAATATGTGAAACTCAAATAAACAGTAATTTGCATTAAAATGTACAGAAGTGTGTTCTCTGTAGAGGATGTGTTAACTTATTTTCACTTAAAAAATCAGCAAGACATGTAACTTGACCAGGGTGCTCAAACCTTTCTGTATTTCTTTTATTTATGATCATGATCATTATGAAGCTATCAGAATCTTGTAGTGATTGTTTTTATATTTAATCCTCAGTAGGTTATCGGCAGCCAAACAAAAACATCTTGTGATTTTATATTATTTATTTTTCACTTGTAGATTATTTAAACAAGCAAAACATTGTTTTGAAACTGTGGAAACTTTGTTCATCGAGGTACAAACTATGTAAATGTACCCACAAAGGTGCAACAGTGGTTTTAAGGTCCAATTGTGTACTTTAAATAAGTTTTTCCCATGTTAAAAGTACATATCTGTACCTTTTCATAGCCTAATGTTTTAAAACAGAACAATAAAATAAAAAGCCTGGAGACGAGACGGGGTGTGTGGAGTCAGTACAACTTAGAAAATATCATTTCAATGGATTATGGTACAGTTATGTTCCCTGAATAAAGGTACTGAGATGTGCCCTTGAGGGGCCCACCCCAGTGACAAGAGGGGTACTGCCCCAGTGATAGGTCCGTACCTTTATTTCTGAGAGTGTACTTGTGCTTGTAAGTACAAGATATTTTATTATGACATGAGGAAGACTATGAAAAAGTAATTGTTACAATTGCATTCAAATTTTATAGCAAAATGAATATGAATACAGTGATTAATAGCTACATTTGAAGTTACTATTGGTAATATAGTGGTCTTGGCCAGAGACAGTTTTACTGTTTCCTATTTGTTTCCCTAAGTGAACACATTCATGGTAGCCCATAAAGCACTGCAACTGTTGCATTCCTGAATTTGACCAGCCTGCCAACTCCCAGAATCCCTTGAAAGCACAGCTGCTGATTTTGTTGTTCCATGTGCTGCTACAACATAAAGCCATAAAGGCGATTGACCCCTGGAGAGTGCAGAGGCCTCCAGCATTGCCACAATTTACTTCATATCAGCCCGGCCTGCTGCTCTGCTGCTGGACTTGGCTCCTCCAGCCTGGATGCTCTAGCCTTTGCGTGCCACTCTATTGCTGCAGCATTGGGCCCCTCTTTAGCTTTTGGCTTTATTGTGCCGTGTCGCACTGTTAGTGCTATTTTCCTCTTCTTGTTGGGCCGGCCATGGCCTTTGGCTCTTTTAATTGGCCGATTTTCTGGCGGCATGCTCAGCGAAGCGGCGAGGCAGGTTCAGTCAGCCATGCATTCAGCCGTGGAGATAGCGATGAGAGACACAGAAAGAGAAACTTTTGTGCATGTAAGCCTGCTATATTTGCATCTGACTATGCCTATCTAGCTGTCTTTTCAAATGTATGTCACGCTTTTGTATGCTTGTATGTATGTGGCACAAACAGTCCTGGACTGCCTCATCTGCTCTCCGTCCTCTAAAGCTTGAGACGATACCTGACTACTTGCGTTTGGAAGTCATTTCTCAAACATTTGTTAGGTTCTTGTCTAGTTCAAATTTCATGACCAGGTTTCATAGCCTTCCACCTTAAATGGGTGTCTTTTTTTATTTCTCTTGTAGTTAAAATTATGTCTAGATTTATTTCTATTTTCTGTTTTTCTGCATAGTATATGTAAGTTTATGTGCAATTATATGTCTTGCTACTGAAACACTGCAATTTCCCTTCAGGATCAATAAAGTTCTCTCTGTCTGTCTGTCTGTCTATCTATCTATCTATCTATCTATCTATCTATCTATCTATCCATCCATCCATCCATCCATCCATCCATCCACCCATCCACCCACTTAATTATCTTGTTCCCATGTCTTACTAAGTTGTGGCCATGCATTAAGAACTTGTTCCCACGCCTTACTAAGTCACGGCCACGACTTAATTATCTTGTTCCCATGGCTCCCTAAGTCATGACCACACATTAAGATCTTCTTCCTATGCCCTACTAAGTCGTGGCCACGACTTAATTATCTTGTTCCCATGCCTTACTAAGTTTTGGCCATGCATTATTTTTATTTATTCAGGATGTCACCAGCAGGGCTCCATACAATGCAATACAACATTATACAGAAAACGTAATACGATATCCTTTGGTATGTTATGCAGTGCAATAGTGTACCATACCATATAATGGAAAGAGAAATGACACAAGATGTGGCAATACTATATATATCTGATACAATATGAGATACAATACCATACAATGCAATACTATACAATGTAATATGATGCAATACAATACCATACCATACTAAACTATACAATACCATATCATACAGTACCATACCACGCAATAAAATACCATACCATATCACACAATGAACTGTGATATGATGCAATGTGATGCAATATGGTGTAATATGGTATGATGCAACCCCAGTAAAATTACTTTACTTGTTGATTTTCTAATTAAAAATAAGTTTGCAAGTGATTATATCATACCATAAGGTACCATACTGAACTGTACCATATTGTACTGTATCTTATCATAATAAACAGTACCACACCATACTATATGATACTATGAGACACGATGTACTATAATGTGTTGCAATATAGCATGATTTGATATGATACGAAACAATACATATGCTTCATACAATCATATGCAAATTACTGTTTTTTTTTCTGAAAGTGGAGGAAAAAATGTGTCCTGTCCAAAAGCTATAGCACAATTTTCGATTAAATTTTTTTAAATCTTTTTTTTTTCCATTTTGTGCACTAAAATTTAAGAAAAATGCCATATTGAAGTTTGTTCTCTATAGAAGATATGTTAAATTATTTTCAATTAGAAATGTAATATGACCAGGGCTGCTCAAGTTTTTGGCGTGGTGCTATACCGTGCAATGCAATGCCATACCGCTATAATATATGATGTGTTGCAAGATGATACAATTTGGTATGATATGAGATACGATAAGCTATTCTGTTTGACACACAATACAAATATGCTCCAGAGCACATATAGAAGAAACATCATAAAGTCTATACATTGGTTTCACATTCAAATACAAAAGGAGCTCTAATACAAAAGTCCAAGAGGCCTTCCTAAAAACATTTGTCCTGAATATCTTGCTGACTGAGCAGTCTAACTGACTCAGGAATGAATGTCTGGTTAAACCTGCAGGATATACCATAGGTCATATTGAGGAGATGTTCATCATTTAACACATAAGAGACTCTGTTTTGGGTTTTGTTATTTTCTTCCTGTTTCGTTAAATCATTTTTAATTGAGTATGTTAGGAAGCACTCATTAAGTTGGCACAATGTCTGAGAGGCCAGCATTACAGCCTTAAATTTATCTAAACTAAATCCTTTGGGATGTTGTTAGGAATGTGGACTTGGTTTCTGGTTGGTGGTTGGCAGATTCGGGTCGAGTTTGGACAGAATTTAAAAACTTGATGGATTCAAAACTTGCTGCCATATCTTTAGTTGGATCTGACTCAGGCGGAATATTGTCAGGCTATTCTCATTTGGATCTAAACTTCAGACCAGATTAAAGCTCTGCTCCACTCTGCTGAACAAATCATTAGAATGAATTCTGGAAGGGTGCATTAGTGCAGCAGGCTAGAGTGGCACTATTGACTTTCTCCCCCTCAGCCCCATACCTGTCCCATTGGATCTATCCTACTCTGCACTTCTTTGCCTCTGCTTCTTAAACCCCAGCCCAGTGTACGTTCATTATCCTCCTCAGACTTGCGCTCCTCAGCAGCCGGGACTGTACGTGTGGGGCAGTAATTGAGCACAACTCGCGACGTCTGTCGCCGCTGTTTGTTCCATTCGGCCTGGCTAATTTGCCGCAGCCTTCCGCCACGAGACGCCACGGCTCCTCCAGTAAGACGGAAAATGAGCCTTGTCACTCAGGCTGCTGTTTCTACGCTACATCATTACTGGAGCTGTTCGTTTTTGAGCCGGCCTGAACGGAGACCAAAAAAAAGTCAGAGAGGCTGAGTGATATTTGTAAAAAGGACGAGATGGGCTGCAACAGTCTGTTGACATGTACGAGACCCACAGAGCGCAGTAATGAGCGCGAGTATGTCAGTCCACAGACTTGTTGTGATTTATTTCGGGAATAGACTTCAGGCTTAAGATATCATTAGCAACTCAAGGGGCTAATTGTGTGTTATTTTTTATTTTTTTTTAGTTACTTAGGAATAGCCTCTAAAAGAGTCTGCTACGCTAGGCTAGCCAATTTGGTCATCACTGGCTTAATTTGCTTTGTTAGCCTTTAAAATAGTGGGCAGCTAGAGTTATGGAGTGGCTGAAAAAATAAGATTGATGGTTGGGATAATGAGTGAAAATGAAATGGGGAGAAAGCAGCGCAGGCGTGACCCTGTTTATTGACTGGCACACCTTCTCAATGCAAAAATGTCGGCACCCCGTCATTCCCGGTTGTCAGTCACCATCGCCGAACCCGTCACCTGCCTTGTTGTCATGGCAACTGGCTGCGAAAGGGAGGCAAGCGCGTCTGTTTGCTTTTGTTTTTGTTGTTGTTAAGGTGTGACAGGCGATCACCGAGGTTGCGCTGGATAGATGTGTACGGGACAAGCTCTTTGACTCCCCCAAGTGTGCGAGTGAGTGAGTGATCCCCGGCTTTTGAGGCTGATGACAAATTGCAGGTCGCACCGCGTCACCCCTGTGATAGGTGTTGGTGCGCGCCGACAGGGCGAGAAGGGGTGAACGGCGGCGTTTCCACGGAGACG